CACTGGCAATGTACATGCACCAGCTCCCCAACTCAAGCAGTTGAAGGGTCAGGGTGGGTGCCGGCTGCCCCCCTGGCCAGACCGAGGCCCCTTCGAGTTCAGAGTGCCGGAGCCGACTTCCAGTGCACACGCCGTGTCGCAGCGGTCGCGCCCGCCGTGGGCATCAGGCATGGCGGCTGCCGGCGGCCCCTGTCGCCCTGGCGCTCCTGACGTGCTGCCGCCGCCCGGTGCGGCATCGGAGCGGCACGGGGGCGAACGCGACGACGGGCGCAGTCAGGCACGTGATGTCGAGGTGCCCCGAGGGGACGAGGCAAATGATGTCGAGCTGCCCCACGGGGACAGCCTACGAGGGGGAGTGCTCCGGCGTCGGTGACCAGTCCCTGGGCTGGAGGCTGAGCCATCGCCCCAGTAAGCGAAAGAAGTTTATCATGCAGGCTTGCGCGGGGCCCATGTCAAGATGCCCACGCCTAGCGCCGCCTTCCCGTCATGCACACGAAAGTCCCGCTGAAGTTGTCGGCCGCCGGTGCTACCGAGAATGACATGCCGCTGTTCCGTATGGGCGAGGAGCGCACGCAGGCGCCAGCTGAAGTGGGTGCGGCCGCACTCGGGGAGGAGGAGGAGGAGGAGGAGGAGGAGGAGGAGGAGGAGGAGGAGGAGGAGGATGAGGACGACCCGCAGAGAGTGCCCCCGTCGCTGAGTGGCGCGCTCGGGGGTTGCCCGAGGAAGCGCGCTCTGGCTGAGGAACCTCTGGCAGAGGTATCCTAGCAGGAGATGGTGATGGAGATGTCGAGGCCGTTGGGTAGCTCGACAGAGAGAAAGAGAGAGAGAGAGAGACATAGAGCGAGAGAGAGAGAGAGAGAAAGAGAGAGAGAGGGCTCTTGTCCTTGACCGATCAGACTGGCACAGAAGCTAATCATGATGGGTCGGTTGACTACCAGGCCAGCGTCGACAGGCTGCAGTCGAAGTGGGAGATGTCCATGGCCGCGGCTCAACTTTGGCGTCGATGGCGCCAAAGGCGACCGCAATGAAGAGTGTCGAGCTTGGCGATTTGGTTCAGGCGCGCATCAGAGCAAGCTGCGCCTGCTGATGGCACCCCGCACGGCGGGACCGATTGCGTAGTCCTCGTTCGCCGTTTGGTCGCTTACCTCAAGAGAAGCTAGCGCGACGAGGATCGCCTTGACAGTGGCGGGGGGTGGATCCCTGGAAGCTGCCCGCTGGCGGCTTGCCGTCCAGCCTATCAGTTCGCCGGGCAGCTTCCTGGGCGAAGGCGAGAGAGAGAGAGAGAGAGAGAAAGACAGCGGTATATATATATATATATATATATAGAGAGAGAGAGAGAGAGAGAGAGAGAGAGAGAGAGAGAGAGAAAGACATAGTGAAAGAGAGAGAGAGAGGGAGAGAGAGGGAAAGAGAGTGAGAGAGAGAGCGAGAAACACACACATATATATATATTTATTTAGAGGGTGAGAGAGTGGAAGAGAGAGAGAGAGAAAGAGAGAGAGAGGGAGAGAGAGAGAGAGAGAGAAGGAGAAAACGAGAGAGAAAGAGAGAGAGAGAGAGAGAGAGAGAGAAGAGAGAGAAGGATGCACATATCGGACGATGATGATGCTGGTGCAGCAACGAGGATTTTCACGTTTACGGCGGCGAAGCTCTTGCGGGGGACCCTGGAGCCAGCTCATCCCATCAACGACTCCAGTGAGGTGCAACTTGGTGAGCTGGGCACGGAGACGGGGTCGGTCGACCTCATCGCATTTCGGGAGCCATTTCACGCGACGAGTTACATTCTCGGCCGCCTCGAGGCGCAGCGGGAGATGGAGCGAGAAACGTTCACGAATGGCGAGGAATGTCGAGCTCACCCCCCCCGACAACGAGGGCCCGAGCCTCTCGGTGAGAAGCGAGGAGCTGGTGTCGGATATCGAGGCGGCGGAGATGCGAATGGCCCTGCTGCGCCGGCGCTTCCACAGCCGGAGGGCCGGAACGGCCAGCGGCGAGGAGGCTTGCCGGGGCCTCGGCGAGAGCTCGGTTGGGCGCCCTGCGGGCCCGCGTCGCGGCGCCAACCCGGGCGGTGGAGTTGCTGGCCGTGCTCGTCGTGGGCTCGGACAAGGACGCCGCTGCTTGTCGGGGCCAGTTCGGAGTGCAACTGCGCGGGCGGCCCCCCTCCTGGGCGAGTTGCTTGAGGGGCGGCTGGTCGCGCGGGGCCGCGCAGGGAAACCGCGCCGCTGCCGAGGGGCAGCTCGCCCGCGTTTGGCCTGCCGCCCGCGCTTCTCGCGGGCAGCGGGCGACGCGCCCCCGTCGGCGACGGCCGCGGTTTGCGCGGTTTCGCCGCGAGAGAGGGGGGTGCGAGGAAGCGGCTCGAGATGGGGGTCGCCGCGAGTATTATGAAGGACAAGGCTTTGGTACTGAACATTGCACGTGTTGGAAGACCGACGAGGCAGAGCTTCCGGGCCCGCTGAGGCCACTGTACTTCGCGGTCTTTGGCAGCGATGCGATCGCGCCAGAAATTGGTTGCGGGGGGATTCGGCTGTCTGGTCGCCTCCGCCGAGCCGGGCACTGTGAGGGCATTGCGGTGGAAATTGGCGCGGGCCGTGGCCGGTGCGAGAGATGCGCTTGCTTCCGTCGGGGATTTTAAGAGAAGGTTCCCGCCGGGCGTCGGGCTGCAAGAGCCGGGGACCTGCGTGGGACTTGACGTTTTGCTCTTGTCAGTAAGTGCACCTGCGCCTGGGAGGGTCCAGGAACGAGAGATCACTGCGGAAGGGTGCTTCTCTGGTCAAGGGTCGCCCGCGGTGTTTCAGGATCAGTTCTCCCCGCGTACGCGCCAGATGCTAGTGTCTGGGCCCCCTCGGCCCCCCCGGGACATGGTAAAGCCGAACCTCGATGTCGATCCATCTGCTTGGACATCGGTTGCGCCGTCGACGCTGCGGCCTGGGTCCCTCCATGAGAAAGGCCGAGACGGCGTCGCGGACGAACCCCGCTCCCGGGCAGGCGCCCCTCGAGCGCGGGGCCCCGCGGCGTCGAAGCGTCGGGGATTGAAGGGCCGGGTTCGTTGCCTACGAGCAGCTCCTGGCCAGCAGGTTGGGGAGCAGCGCTCGGAGATTGCCCTGCGACCGCGAGCTGGGAGCGGATGGGGCCGAGGCAAAAGAGGCGCCAAGCGGGGGGGGCGGCTTCGACGAGGCGAACTGGCTCAGCAGCTGGCGCGACGAGGAGCCAGGAGCTTCGGGGGGGCCACGTGGCGGATGTCCAGGA